TTTCTTTCTTTCTTTCTTTCTTTCTTTCTTTCTTTCTTTCTTTCTTTCTTTCTTTCTTTCTTTCTTTCTTTCTTTCTTTCTTTCTTTCTAAGATATCCTGTATGCAATAGAGGAATTTTCTCTTCTATTTCTGCTTTGTAGAGTGATTTTACCATGAAAGGGAGTGGAATTTCCTTAAATGCCTTTTCTTCAGCTATTAAGATGATAGTGTTTTCCAGTCTATTGATATGATGGATTGCACTAATTGAGGATTCAATCACATTCTTGGGATAAAATCCCACTTGGTCATGGTGTATCATTCTTTTTATATGTTGTTGAATTCTGTCTACTCGTATTTGGCTGAAGATATTTTTGCATCTATATTCACAGGAGATACCGATCTGGAGTTTTCTTGTGGGGTTTTGGTATAGTTATCGTATTAGAGTAATATCGGCCTCTATTTTAAAACAAATGTATTATTGTTCAGGAACAGTGAGACCCACATGTGAGGATGTGACTGCGACTGGGAGCACACTGTAACTTACAGCTGTCGCAGGGAGGAACTTGCCATAAGATGGGAGGGCCCACGGGTAGCCACCCAACAGGTGGAGAGAGCGGGAAGAAAATGGGTGGTCTCTTCTAATACTTGTCCCAGAGCTGGGTCCACACCAATCTCCAGGCATTTGTTTTTGATTTTGTCTTTCTTAGGGATGAAGACCCAGATCCAGATCTTCCTGCCAATCTTTCCCAAATTTCATGTCCTCTTTCACCCTCAACTGACCCCTGACTCCAGAACCTCCCACTTTAGAAGAAGGAGGTAGTTTATAGCTGGAGGAAGAGAGCAAGCACAGCGTATTCATTTCCCACTTGACAGATTTCCTCTCCTTAGTTGGGTACTTTCTGCAGTAATTTCTAATACAATAATGATTGTTTAGTTTTTTCTTTCTCTCCCGTTGTCTGGAAACCATGTTTACTGAAGCAGGCACATTCTGTGACATAAATTCTCCCAATTCTCTTGGGCCCAGAATCAGGATAAGCAGTGATTTAGGGTGGGGATTTTGGGCTATTTGAGAATTGTACTGTGCTGTTCCACTCTTTGCTGTGGGAGTGAGAAGCTTGTGCAAATCAACAGAACCTATATTTCCAAGGAGAACTTATTAAATTACCATAATTATTTGGGATACCCAGAATACTTGGAGGAACCCTAAGGGTCCTGGAGACACAGGGGAGGAACCAAGACTTTGTATCAGTAGCTAATAACCTGAATGCCATCACCAAGCATCCAAAAATATCTTTTGAGAATTATCTAATTGCTTGTAAGAATCAGTCTCAGCCTTCTAAATGGTACTTAGTGATAATTTGATATAGCAGTATGTTTCTAATGATCACTTGGTTGTTTTTTAAATATTAAATTTTATAGCATGTTTCCCAACTAATGATGAGTACCATAAACCTGAATTAATATTTAAACTAATCAAAGATATCTTTGCTACTTCCAAAATTGTGTGTCTTATAGATTTATGCTCAAAGGATGATGGAAACTTACTTCCTCAGTTTTCCAAAGAGAACAGTGATGTCGCTTTAAGCACCCTAAAGGTAAGTGTGAACATTTTTTCAAGTCATGGGGTAAATCAGTCACCAAAATGCCCACTCTTAGACCTGGGGCAGCCCCTCTCTTGGGGTTATGCGTTCTTGGGAGAGATCAGGTCTGGGCTGGGGCCAGGGATAAAGTCTTCTTCTTTCTTTCTTCTTCCGAAGAAGAAGGTAATGACCAGAGAAATCAGACTGTGACTTTACAACCAGATTGAGGTGCTAGAGAAAATATAATTCATGATTTGATGGGATGTGAATATTCTATCCTTGTTTCTCATTTCTTAATAATGGTAGTGATGGCAACAGCAACAAAAACAGCTGCCATTTATTCAATGCTAACTACATGACATTTAATTTTCACAAGTCTGTGATATAGGTATTAATCATTTTTGAGCAACGCCGTGCTAAGCCTAAGAAAATTGAGGCCAAGGCAGTATGAAATTCAGTAACATCATGCAACTAATAAAAATACAGATCATCATCTTAACTATTTTATTAAATTGCCCTAGTACTGTACTGATGCATTATCTACTGCTCTGTGCAAACAAGATTTTAGCGATCTGTTCTTCATCTGATGATTCCTTTCTCTTTTTCCATGTGAGGTTGCTGTTTAGTATTGATTCTCCACTGCAAAATCTCATTATCTTCACATTACCAGTTAAGTGACCATCGTTGAACTTGAAATGACATAATTAAATGTCATTGTTCACAGATTCCTTATCTGCTAACTTATCTGTATGCAAAAATGTACTTGTAACCCCAAAAGCAATATTTCTAACTCTTTTGTGGTCATCATGGACAGATACAGAGCATAGAAAAATGTGACTTGCACACATAGCAGAGCAGCCCAATAGAAGCAGGCAATCGCGCTGAATTTTTGTTTCTGCTCTCCTACGGTAAACAAGGGTCCTGTTTGTGGTCTGTTTATTGCCACAGTTCTTTGCATATCCACACTGTTTTGTTAGTGATTTTACTGTTTAAAATAGCACCTAAGTGTAGTGCTGGTGTGCTGTTGAGTTTTCCTAAGTGCAAAGAAGGTTGTGATGTGCCTTTTGGAAAAATTAAGTGTGCCAGATAAGCTTTGCTCCGGCATATGGAAAAAAGCTACTGACCATGAGTTCACGGTTAACAAGTCCATATCATATATTAAATAACGTGTCTTTTAAAAACAACATTAAACAGACCTGTATTTATCAGTTGACAAACCGTTGTGACTGGACGCTCGCAGGAACCTATCCTGGTATTTTCTCAGGAGTGATGATTCCTTACCCCTCACCCCATGTTTGCAGCCACTTTATATATAGACTGTAAATACCACGAATAAGCATGTATGAGCACTGGCTGTTCATATACTGACACGTGACTGTTGATCAGGCCTCGCCTTGCCATTAACTTCTCTCTTACCTTTTTCCTGTTCTCTGAGCTCTCTTTGCTAAGGCATGAAAAACAGTGTTTTCTGGGGAAGACTTGATCGGCATTATTTCTGAACTTAGGAGATTCTGTGATGTTTCTTTAGTCAATTTTACTGAGTGAAGCTGAAGACAGGCTCAACACTCTGGTGTCAGAGACGGGGCCCATCCACAGAAGCCTCACTCAGCTGTCTGCCAGCCAGCTGGAGATGGTGGTGGCGTCTCAGCTGCAGCTGGCCGCCATTGCTCTACAGAGACACCGGGCAGCGTACAGGTGAGTCTCCGAAGCCCAGGGGAGAGTTTCTTCCTCACCCAAATCTGTTAATGGACCTCCAGTTATAGAAGTCCTGTAAAGGCCTAAATTGATAGCCCATGCTTCTCTCTATTCCTCAAGGAAGTGTTCCTACACATTCTACCTTAAACTACTTTATTTAAAAATTTTATGGTCGAAATAGAGTATTATTCCATATCAGTGTTCAAAGGCTGACTGTTTTCAAGCCCCACCCCTCGGCCTTCTGCCCCACATCTGGGCATGCAGATTAGGTGGCTCAGTGGCTCCTCCTTTTGGTGCTGGTGGGAAGTTTAAACCGCACAAATCCTGACCCACTTGGAACTTAAACCCTAGTGCGGTTCATCACCCAAGACACTTCAACCTTCCTCAGGAGGCTGTTCTTCCTGGAAAACCTTATGTGTGTCAGCATCCTTCTCATCCCTTTCTCGTGTGTGGCATCTGTCATGACAGCTCAGTATTTATTTTTATAAATTCTAAGTATATATTCTCTCCCTCTGTGTGTATAATACATTCTCATCTGATTTCCTATAGCAGAATATAGAACACTGTGTCCCAGAGAGCAAAAGTAGCTCAAAACAATATTTCTTGTCATTTACTTCCATCCTTCCCCAGCTCTCTACCTTTCTTATACTATTTAGCTATGGAGGACATGAGTGATGTTTTTTTTTTTTTTTAAGGAGAAAGAAGGAAATAAGAAACTGAAAATGACAAAGGACCACAGAAAGAAGTGTCACAATAGAACTTTAATTTGAAGATAGACATATGCAAATAATGTGCAAGGATATTAGAGTCGTTCTATTTTAAATACATGAAACCAGCCCTTGGGACAAATCCTGCAAAAACTTTGATGTTCTTGTCTTTTTGCGGCATAGTTGTCGCTGAGGGAAGCCTCCTGTCAAGAAAAATGAGTTTTCCTTACATGAACTTTACCCCCCACGAGTTCCTGTTTGGGCGGGCAGAGAGGGTTGGCCTGTCCCTTTTCCAGAGGATGGTTAGCGTGACATTTCATGATCCTGCTAATAAAATTATGTGTCAAGAAAATTGAAAGGCACATTCCCTAGGGTGACAGTGAGCTGCCTGGATTTTATGAGAACAAACTGACCATTTTTTGGTCATGAATGTTAATAAGAAATAAATGGCATCAAAGTTATTCAAAGTGGATTTCTGCTTCTTTGAGGGCTGCTTCTCTCTTTCAGAATCTTGCCTTTTTTTCTCCCCCTGTACCCCCTGTGTTCCTTTCTACGCTCCTTTCTATTTAATTTATTGTCTAAAGGGGGAAGTATTTGATTCTTTTCAATTTTGTGCCAGAATGAAACTGCCTTCCATTGGGATTTTAGGCCATTTACAATGGGTAATCCTCCTACTCTGTCTCTTTAGCTTCATGGAAAACTAGAAAATTTCTGTTGTGCCTCTGAACAGTACCAGGTAGATCAGGACACACTAGATGGTCTACATTGTTTTCATTAAGTGTGTGGATTAACAAGGTTCCAAACCTCATTTCTCTTGAAATCAGAATTTGGGTTTCAGAATCCCAAGAATGAGACAGACACCATTTTCTACCCCCAGGGAGCTTACTGTAGCTTTGAGGACAGAAGGAGTGGGGAGGAGCTTTCAGACCCGTGTTTCTTGTTTTCTTGCTTACCTGTTTACTTTCAGTTAAAAAACAAGACAAAACACCACCACTAAGGTTAGCTAATCCCAAGCAACATCCTAGAAAATACATTAAAAATGTCTGATGTCTCAGGGAACTCTTGGGAGTTTAACATTCAAAATTTGCAGATGCTGGTAAACAATTCAGGGGAGAAAGAAGCAATTCACCTCTCCATACCTGTTCTGGCCAACTCAGTAAAGGAGTGATGGCAACTCCTTGGTCAAGGCCTCTAGCATTTCCGTATCCCCATTTCCAACTCTATAAACCCAGGATGATGTCTACCTTGAAGGCTTGGGGTGAGAGTTAAGTGCAGGAAATCATACACAGCACTTATCACAGCATGTAGCGGATGTTGATAACTCAGGAAATAGTGTTTTCTTTCTTCAAGGATTGCATGAAAAAGGGGACATGGTCACCTTAGTATGATGTCTTCCTTTTTTACAATAAAATGTAGACAACAAAATCTCAAAAAGAGATTTTCAAGATAATTTAGCAGTGGAGCACAGGCTCTTTCTTGGGGGACTTCTGAACCAGACTACATGTCTTCCCAAGCATCCACAGACACCGATGAAGCTGCTGCAGTCTCAGTCATTTACCCAAAGGAGCAGGTGTACTGACTGCAGTCTTGGGGTCTGAAATGAATCTGACTTACACTGATGAGCCCCTGGGGTTGCTGTAAGAGCCACAGTTAGGAGGTGGCCAGGAAGCTCTACAGAAGCACAGTCCTTAGCTAACAGGGAGCTCTGACTCTGGAGTGGAGGACAGACATGGGGGACCTGGGGGTGGGCGAAGGAGACCAAAAGCAAGGAAATGGACTTTTAACCTAGCCTGTCTGTTACCCAGGGCTGCTGTAAAATGGCATTTAGAACTGGGTGGCTTAGCAGAACAAAATTTTATTGTTTATTGACTATCTCTCAACTGACATGACTGCATTAGAACATTATAAAATTCTAAGTGCATATCGTTACAAATCAACATGTGTATATGCTGTCTTAAGTTCACCTGGAGAAGTCCCAATGCTACTCTTTAGCATAGAATTGACCTTTTTCCCACCCTTCCCCCCACTCCTTCCTGGTCATCACTAATTGGTCTTAATAGCTAAAGGTTTGTTTTTGTTGTATTGTCTCACAGTTCTGAAGGCCCGACCTTCAAAACCAAAGTATAGATGGGCCATGTTTTCTTGCAAGCTCTAGAAGAGAGTCCATCCTTGTCTCTTGTAGCGTCTGGTGTTCATTGGAAATCCCCGTAGCTGCATCCCTGCAGTCGCACAGCTGTCTTTGCTCTGTGTGTCTACTCGTCATCTTTCCCTTGTCTCTCTGTCCAAGCAGAAGAGATGGAGATACCCAACATACTGGCTTAGAACTTATCCTGTGAACTTATTTGACTTTGTTACTTCTGTGAAGGTTATTTCCCAATAAGGTAACATGCCCAGGTACTGAGGGCTAAGACTCCCACGTACCTACTTTGGAGGGACGCTTTCAACACTAACACCTGTAGATGGGACTACCTGTTGTTCAAGTGGAGGCATCAAGTGGGACCTTCAAGAGATGGGCATATTGTCTGTTTGGCTTTTCCCCAACTGTTCTGTGTTAATAAATAACATTACTATAAGCAACTTTAAGTAGATAGCTTGTTTTGTATTTAGAATTTTGAACGTAGTACATTTTCCCAAAAAGTCCATTGGTATCATAAAAATATTTTAAAAAGTGTGACATCAATTATAAATGTATTATTCTATTGGAGAGGAAGATATGATGATGAAAGAGCAGACAAGTTTGCATAAGAAGCAACAAGATGCAAAGATTCCTACCTCCTGGCTTCTGTTTTTGTTTTTAATTTATTTCCTTTCTGGCTCTGCTAACAGTGATAAAGCTGTAAGATAGCTTAAGTGTTTCCAAGTTACAGTGTCAATGTAACACAGTTCTGTGACTTCAAAAAGCTGGAGAATCACATCCTGACATGTAAGACCCATAAAACACATATGTGTTTGTTTTATGAGTAAGATTGTGATTGCATTTTGTTTTAGATTTTGGAAGCTTGCATCATTTTTCATTTATTCACTCATTTTCATTAAGTTTTTTGTTGTTTATATTCCATCCCAGTTACCAATGCTGGGTTTCAACAAGAAAAAGGAAAGTTAGCTGTAGAGCATTTTACAGGCAATTTAGATGAAATAACTACTGATATATAAGACCTGTGTCTTATCCACAAAGAAGTTAAACACATAGAAAGGGCGCCTGACATTTCGGGGGTCCATGAGCATGGAAAAGTTTTTTGGAGGAAGACACTTTGGAAATAACATATACATGTCACAAACGTAATACTAATAAAAATGTACTGTCTATATTTCAGTGCTGCAATAGTATTTTCCACACTTAAACTTCTCCAGGATTCAAAACTTTTTAAAAAGAAAGTCGTAGAAGATGATACAGGAAATTCCACTTCTACGAGAACGTTTGTAAGTAAGAGTTTAATGTTCCTTCTTACAATATTTGTTCTGTAGTAGATATTGACATGCAAGGAAGTTAACTCATTATTTAGGTAAAAGAAAAGGTAAAATTGCAAAAAACCATTAAATTCTGAGCACAAATATGTTTAAGCTCTTTTAGTCTATTAACTGGGACAAGACCCCTTATTAATTGGAGTAAGTCTCTAAATTATGTAATCTCTCTTGTGAGGTTTAGGGACTGGATGAAATCTCACTAAGCCCTACCAGAGGTGTTGTTCCGATGTTCCAGATCTGAGGTCACTATCAAATAAAGGTGTTTCACAGACTTGCTTGGCATTTCTCCTTTAAATATACGACTTCAGCATCCCCACTGTGAGATGGTGCTGTTCCCCGTTTTGGATTTCTCTGTCAGATTTTTGTACCTTTTAACACTCAGGTCTATTGGGCCCCTGTTATTGTTCATTCTTTAAAATTTTATTAAACTTTGAGAAGACCAAGTAATTTTATAATACAGGACTTTTTAGAATTAAAACACAGCAGTTCATCACATAGAAGCCTTGTTCATTATTTTACTAATAAAATTGCTAATATCTAGTGTCATTACAAATAAGCAAAGCTAGAGACTCATTGTCCTAGAGACTCATTTCTTACTATAGTAAAAGCAATCAAAATGATAAAAGGCAATCTAATACAAATTGACAGAGCATTTTTGTTGTTGTTATTGTTAAATGAAGTCTATGTTGTGTCCTTGGAGGTACTTGGCACAGTTCAGAGACTTTCAAGTTGTCACAACTAGGGTGGGGGACTCCTGACATTCAGGGCACAGAGACCAGAGATGTGCTGTCACCCTGTAATACTCAGGACAGTCCTCCCCCGATTACCCAGCCCCAAATATCAGTAATGCTAAAGTCAAAAAACCGATTTAGATTGTGCTGTGATCTTAAAGACTAACAGATAACGCAGGTTTTGAGAAATGGAGGTTAGTGCTGCCGTATATTGACTGAAGTGCTGACGTCCATGAGCACTGGGACTGCCCATTCTCGTCGCCATTCTGTTCTACAGGCCATGAAGTGTTCACCCTCCTCTTCTGTGCTTCCCACTGTTCTCTCCACAGCCCAAAGATCATAAGACTATGGGCATCTGTTTGTGTATTTTTTTTTTAGATTTATTTATTTATACATACAGAACTGGGGTACAGGCCAGGGGTGGGTGTGTTTGTGAGGATTCACCAGAGAGAGAGTGGGGAGCAGAACAGGCAGTTCAATGAAGTACACTGCTGAGGGGAGCAGCAGGAGGGACAGGAGAGGTCTGCTGCACCATGTGGGTCAGCTCCGGGGCTGGAGATCGAACTCGAGCTGAAGCAACTGTGGCTAGCTTTGTGTGCTGTGCTTTAATCCATTGCACTAGCAGGGAGGGTCCATGTGCATTTTTAATTTTTTTATAGAATATGCAAGAAAAATTTCTAATAATAGCAGTGTAATACTGCTCAGCTATTTTGGACGTGACTCTCTTTACGGACATGCATCTAGCACCAGGCAGGAACTTCGAGATTATTAAATCTAACCATCATTTTAATATTGCTTAGGCCACTGAAAATAAAGACGATGAGTTTTTAGATCCGATTTCTCTAAATTCTCGGGAATATTTCAACATCCATCTGTGGCTGAGGTGCTGCTTGGCACTGATGACTGCATTTGTCGCACAAATTTCTGGCATTGGAATCGTGAAAGGTACAATTTCTTATTTGCTTAAACTTTTCATCTTATTGAGGCAATGGTGGTCTGACTGGAATATATTTTATTCTAACATTAACATAACTTTCTAGCTTGATCTGTCTCCAGAATAAAAAATTCAGGTTGTTGAGTAAGATAATTCCAACAGTTTTGTTATCACTGAAAATCGCATATATGATACTGATGTAGTCAAAACAGACAAGGGGATTTCAAAATACTAATGTGCTGGTCTTGTTGTCATCTGGCAGGCAGCACAGAGTAGGGGTACAGAACACAGTTCGGGTGTTTTTCCACTTGGGTTCAATTGCCCCATCCACCATTTCTTTGATTCATGATCTTTGCTAACTGTCTAAGTCACCAATTCCTCAGTTTTCCCCTCTGTAAAATGGAAGTAATTGCATCTACTTCATAGGGTTATTGTCAGAATGAAATGGGTGAAATTTAGTTCTTAAATCATAGCCCAGCACGTACACATTTGTTCTTATAGCGACTAAGAACTATTTGCAAACCTTTCTATTCTCCCTTCTCTATCTTTAAATTAAATCATTTTAATTTAAATATCATTACTTTTTGCAACATTGGAATATCTCATAGTACTTTTCCCCAAATTACAACATATTAATTTGCAACATTTCATGTAGAGTCCGTTTATTTTTTGTCTTGATTAATTCCTGTTCTTCTATGTTATATAATGTTCCTGTGATGAGCACTGAGGATAATCTATATATATAATTTCTTGCTTTCTTGGTGCATTTTAAATAACTGCATTTGTTTATTTTAGAAAATGACATGACAGACTATGTGAGCCTCATCAAGGAAGCCTGTATGGAGGCAAAAAGGTCAGGAGATATTGAGTTGCAGGCTGAATTCTTGATGCAATCTGTAATCATTGGTCTACAAGAAAAACATTTAAAGGCAGACATCATACGAGACCTTCAGGTAGGAAAGAAACCTCATTCACATTGATACTTACCAAAGGGTTCTATTTAGAATAAAAGGAGAGAATTTAAAATTCTACTAGGTACTGAAAGCATAACAGTCAATGTGACCAGCTCTTGTTTCAGTGAATTGGGAATTCTGCTATCAAAGGAATCATTTTATTTTAATAGGAGATAATACATTTGCTTGATGGAAATGAGTTTATTTCTCCTCGATCTCATTTAACCCTGGTGAGAAGCATGCTTTTGCTGGATGACTTAACAAAAGCTGATAAATTCAAGGAAAATCCCTCTTCAAAAACAGAAAAATTAAATCTGTTGACTCAGTGTCACAACATTCTTATTGAACAGGTGAGAATACTTTTTTTACCATGAGATTTAGAAACTAATTTTCTGATTTCTTAATAAGGAATTAAGCAATCCTTATTTCAATGTTTCTTTTTCAGATGCTAACTTTTGGAGAAACAATTGAGTTTCCTTTGTCAAACACTGACTATGCAAGTCCATTGCAGCCTTTGAAAAATATCTACCTTCCTCATGTCATGTTATTGGCCAAAACAAAAATGAGAATTGGTAAGAACACTTAACTATGTTATTACACTCAAGTTATTGATGACGATGTTTGAGTTTTACAAAGCAAGTTATCATGAGTGCATATATATGAGGTGCTTATGTTAGGGGGAAATGATGTCCTGAAGGAACTATGCAGTTTTGTGGACTCCACCCCCTACTCCACTGATTGAAACTACAACTCCCAGCAGTACCAGGGAGAGAACTGCTAGGACCCAAGGGTGGAGCTAAGCAGGAATTCTGGGACTTTTGGGGAGATATAAGGGGGCAAGATGAGACAGCTCTCTCTCTGGACCGCATGGCTCTCTGGACCAGGAGGCACTCTCTGGACTGAGTGGCTGGTGCCTGTCATTTGGCTCTTGAGGAGCTATCAGTGTGTTATTGGAGTTCCAAGTCAGTGGAGCTGGTAAGATGTTCTAGTTAACTTGTATCTCTTTCTCTCTTTGCCTGGGTTGTACTTTTCCTTTCCCCTTTATAAATAAACCATTATTGACCCTTTTTATGTGGGCCTGCAGAACAACTGAATTTTAAGTGCACAGGTGAGGACCCACAGACAGGCAGCCCAGTTCATATCAGGTTGCCTGTAACAATATTTATGAAATACCCAGAATCCACTGACTTAATACATAATTTTTGTTAACCATTTACCAGACTGTGGGAGCTCCTGGGAAGTTACTGGAGTTACTCCCTCTCAGTGAGAGAAATAGAAATAAACAAACCATATGCCAGAGGGCGTTATATCATATAACATAGCAATCATGTTATAAGTATCATATAAAGTATGATAACATTTATAAAACACACATGACACTTTATAAAGATAAAATTTAATAAAGTAAGTCTTGCCTAAAATAAATTGTGGTTTAGATTGAACAACTAGGGAAGAAATCAGCAAAGATATAGAAAGCTTACATTATATAATGAATTATACATGCAATTATGGATTGTCATTAATATTATGAAAGATGTGGATGAGACCTGCTGGTACATAATAATGAAGGGGGGCGTTTCTGAGTGGTGTAACTGAGGAAGGCCTCTCTGAGGACGATGGTGAGGAAGAGGGAAATGGCCTAGCAATACTGAAATATCAGGTTTTCAGACCTGGAAAATGTTTATTGAGGAGAAAAGGAACAGAAATAAAATGAGACTGCCAGGCTGGTGGAACCAGGCCAGGCAGGGGCTAGGAGCCCAAGTGGAGTCGTGCCTTAGGGAATACAGACCTTCTTTCCCTAACTGTTCTTGGTCTCCACCAGTCATTCTGTGATTGGTTAGTTCTCGGTGGCCTCACTCACTGGCGTGGTGTCTCTGTGCCCAGAACTAAGTCTCTGTGTCCCAGTCCTTACCTTAGAGTCCTTTTTCTTTATTGTCCTTGTTTGGGACGGTCTTGTGGCCCCTAGTCCTGGGATGTTTGATGAATCCCCTTTTGAATTTGTTGCCCTTAACTCTTCAGAGGCTTTTCCTATTCTACTCTGACCCCAAGATCTCTCCCCTTGCCCTGTGCGTGAGTGGTACATTTAGTGGAGGCAGAGAGCACAGTGGCTTGTGGAATCTGAGGTCAGAACAAGCACAGCGTATTCTGGAACTGCAAGGAGACCAGTGCAGATGGGAGAGTGGTCAGGGGGCGGCCTAATGGGAGGAGGGGACTTGGGGACGGTCGATGTTTCAGAAGATTAACCTGGGAGGGGGGGGATTGGAGGTAGTTGGCTGAGAGTGGACCTGACTGGAGCAGGCGACTGGTAAGCAGACTTGCTACTCTGTAGAAACCAAGGAGCTCACAGACATTTTTGCAGTCTTTCTTTAGGACAATGTCTCTGCTGTAACCCCAATCTACCTGTCTCAGACTCCCAGACTTAGTCTATCTCAGAGGGCAGAAAATGTTAGACCCATTCTCTCTCATCTAACCTGTATTAACCATCCCTTTTTATTTTCTATATTTTCTATGTTTGAGAGTGAGGCTTTGCCTCCTCTGCTCTGTATCTCTCTTCCTCCTGCCATCATCACTCCGGGAGCAGGTATGGGACTATTTACGAGCAGAGACCACCGAAGTTGTCCAAACTAGCCCCCGCCACCGACCACTCAGCCTGCTTCCCTACCCCACCCATACCTTCCACAAAAGTCTCAATAAGGGTTCTCGCCCACTTTCTCCTCTACCTCCCGACAAACCCTGGGGCTCTGGGTGTGGCCTGGTTTGCCTTTCCTCTGGGGACCTGGGAGTCACCAACTTAATTGTCAGTGGTTGTCGTCCCCTGGTCTCCTGACCGTTGACCAGGGGACGACAGCCACTGACAGAACCTGCACTTTAAATCCTCCCCACTCTCTGCCTGGGGCGCGTGGGCTGCTCAGGAGAGACTGAAGTTTCCAAACAGAGCGGGGAAAGGAGGGGAGAGAGGCAAGGTCAATCCTCTCGATCCAGAAGCGCCCCCCCCCCATTTCTCCACTACTGCTACCACTCCCACCCCCCGGTAATTATTATTTTGATGCAATTGTCATCATGATATGAATCTCATCACTGTCAATAAGTCACTTTACCTTTCTGCTGCCAAGTGTCCTCAGTTATGGAGTCAGGCTGCGGTAGGTGACCTCCAGAGGCCCTTCTGGCTCTCCGATCTCCTGTGAGTTATTCGTCTGCATTCTCAGCTGACAATTTGTTCTCTTATCAGTACAGTTGGTTTTTACAGGAGCTTAGAGTACAGATTGTGTTAAATACTACAGATTGTGTTAAACCAAATGTATTCTCTGCTTTCCTGCCTTTCTAATCTTGAAGTTGTGTCAGCACTCAGTAGCAATACTGCTGCTGGTTTTCAGACTCCCTTGAAGCAGAACAGCTTGCTTTCTGCTATATTATATTAAATAGAGAGTAAAAAACAAAAACCAAAAGCAGCTTTTCTGTCAAAACAAAGTCAGTTTTATAACTTCTTTTTTACAGAGTTGATGTTTATTTGAAAAAGGAGCACTTCAATATTATGAAGTATGAAATCATTTGCCTTGATGCTTTCTCGACAGTTTTCCTTTACAGTGATCGTATAGACTGTGTTACAAAGCTAGAGCCCCTTGATTTGTTCTTTCCTTTGTGAAAGCCTCTGACAGGAAGTCATCTTGAGATTTTTTTTTTAATTTTTCTAAAAATTTATTTATTTATGCGTACAGAACTGGGTTCAGGCCAGAGGTGCAGGGGCGATGACAGGATTCACCAGAGACAGAATGGGGAGCAGAACAGGCAGATTGACGAAGTACACCGCTGAGGGGAGCAGTGGGCAGGTCAGGAGAGGTCTGCTTCGCCATGTGGGTCACCTCTGGGGCTGAGGATTGAACTCATGCTGAAGTAGCTAGCTTGCAGTGCTGTGTCCTAAGCTGTTGCGCCACCAGGGAAGGCCCACGGATATTGTTTCTTTAAAACATTTCTTAGATGCTAAAAATGAAAGCCCACCAGAGTTCTTAACAGATGCCTCGCTGTGAGAACTGTCTGGCGACTTGGCGACAGGCATGTCATGAACACTGTATTTTATTTTTCTCTCCCATCCAACCATCTTCTTTAGGACATACAATAGCCAAACAAGTATATTATACCAGTAGAAAGAAGGATCCTTCAAAGTGGTTGCCTGCCCTTCACCTTTTTGAAATGGCACTGAAGCTCTGTAAGACATCAGCAAAAGAAAAACCTGAGGTAGAAGCAGAAATCCTTTTTCAGAAAGGTAAGATGTATTTGTAGCTAGAAGTATGATAAAGTTATGGAAACATTTTTCCTATTACCAACAGCTTCTTAAAAATCTGGTCACTGATTATATAAAGTACAAAGCTTTTACAGTGGGCTTGGTGAAGACAAACATTGATATCTGTGACAAACTCAGCTTTAGATAAAAAGGATGCTGCCTGTTTTAAGTTTCTATCTAGAAAAAAAAAAGGAATGCTTATTCATTTCTTTTAAAATGACAACAACCTTTTTTTACGTAAATTTGGGCTAAAAAAATTCATCAACCTTTAACCATAAATAATGTCACTCAAATAATGCTTGGGTTTTTTTTTTTTTCACCATTTCATTACTTAGCTAAGTATTTTAACTTTTCTAAGATATACAGTAATACAGAATAGCTATACATACCTAGATTTATAACAGACTTATAACATATTCATATAGTTTATTCACATGATTTTCTTGTGGCCATTTTAGCTGTCAGCCCAACAATGATAGTGATTCCTATCATTTACCCAGCTAGATGCAGTCTGCATGCTCGGTGTTTACATCTCATAGTGCTAACTCTTACCACAACTCTACAAGGCCACTATGATCAATCCTGGTTCATCAACAAGGAAAATAAAGTACAGGCTGGTTAAGGAACTTCCTGTAAGTTTGCAGGGATGACCTGGTGGTACCCGGATGTTAGGTTCACATTGATGGCTCTGTGCCCTGGCCACAGGCCACCTGAAAATCGTGACCCCTTTCAGTAGCAATGACAGAATCTCCTCTCCTGCACTTTTTGCTTCAGAGGTCCCAACTCAGCACCTGCATTGGTGGCTCGGGCCACCGTGTGGCCTGGAAGCTGTGCTGACCTTTATCATCTGCTGGGTGAGCACCCATCATTCACAGTGGCTTTCACGCCTTTGCTGGTTTTTTAGAATTTATTTCTAAACATAGATGTTTCCAAGGGTATCTGCAGCATCAGACAGAGAAAGGGGGAAAGTGAATGTAGAAAAAGGAACTGAGTGCTACAGGAGGAAGGGAGAGAAAAGTAAGGACAGCTGTGTGTGGAAAATCAAAGGTGGCTTTGACTCAGTTTACCAAAGCCATGAGATTCCTGCAGAAAGAAGCAAAGGAGCCTTTCCATTGGCTTACTGCCATTAAGGGACAACAGGCAGCTGGACAAAAAGAAAGTGCATTTTCTGAATTTCCAACGTGAAATATTTGTTCTCAAGTTCAAAATAATAGACACATCTTTGTGTGACTTTTTCTTCTTTTAGGCAAAATAGAACGTCAACTACTGATGGAAGATAGATCTTCAAATTTGCAACCTGAGAGCTTATTTAAGGCAATACAGCTAAGCCTGAAAAATGACCAAAACTCAGGGTAAATAAAGATGTACCTTCCCATTATCGAAGCAACGTGTTTCGGGCATTGAGTCCCGTATACTGGTGAAACCCTGGATATTCAGGCTGGAGTGGTTGGGAGACTCCTTTCACGTGGCAGGGCTGTGCACTGGTGTCCACTGTCCAGCAGGTCCAGTGATTTCCTTTTCAAGCTTGCTGCTCTTGGCTCTGATGGTAGATGCTGGCGGTCATTGTGGTAGTGTGTTGGACTGGGAATGGCTTCTAGTATGTGCCCAGATCCATCATCTGTCAGTGTGTATAATTCAGACTACCTGAATTACAGGGGTTTTGCCTGGGTGTGAAATTGTATCTAGATGGAGTTTGTGAGTACTTGCTTTGGTTCGCAATACCACAGCTGGCTAACTTAATATTGCATAAAAGTCATCTCAGGGTTGAGACTTAAGTCACCATTATCGCTCAAGTACTGATCCCAGTTGCCCCAGTTGACAAGTTTAATAGTGAATCTAGAGACCTAACCTATACCAGGGACTGCCTTCCCCACATCAGTGAGAGAGTAGAGCAGAGTCCTCTAACCCTCACCTTCACTACTTTAGTAAGTCCTGTGCTGAAGTCAGAATGTTCTGGATGCTGGGCTTCATAGCAGTGATAGCCTGGGGTGTTACCAGCTGGACACGGTCAAAACATTTAGCTGTCTTCAAGAGATTCCATGTTCAGCAGAAGGGAAAATGGTAGCGTCTGCATGGGAAGTGTGTGGAAAGGGGCTGTGGATTTTGGGTAGATGCTGGTTTTTAAACTTCATTTTATTTTTACTGTTCATTCACTTGGAAATTGTTGGCAAATGATGCTGAGTGCTGACATCATTTAATAAATAACATCTGCTGTCATTTTAGGTTGATAAGAGACTCCTACCTAGAAATGGCCTTATTATTTTTACATCTGAGGAAGCCAAAGAGCAAGTTTTCAACATCAACATTAACACCTACGGTAATAAGCCATTAGAAATTTTAAGCTAATTGCCTTTGAGATTGCTATTTTGGTAACACTGTGCTATTAAAATAATGAGATTAATTTTCCTGTGTGACTTGGAGAAACTAACTCATTATTGTAGTCACATGTGTCTTTAGATACCTCTCTGGATGCTCGGGCACCAGCTTATTCATTGCCTTTTCTTTTCGTTGGAAGTCCTGTAGTCACAAGTAGAAGTAATAGTTTGCCATTGTTTACTTCCTTCTACAGTTTTGTTGAAGATTGAAGAATTGGTTAAAAAAAAAAGAGCATCAAAAAATCAGAATCAAACTGTCTAATTAAATAGTTAATTTTATCCTGTTTGTTAAGCCTTACAAGTTGATTTTTAATGCTTACTTTTAGGTAACTTTTAGATTGTGAAATATTTTAAAGATATTATTTTGCCCATAGAGTTTCTTTTTACTTCTGTGTCATTGAGTGTCATGTGCTTACATACTGAATAAGCACACAGAATCATGCACGCTATAAAACACATCTTCATTCGTTGCTATATTTTGCTGTTTCGTGGACCTTTATGATTCTAAATCATCCTTTGTTTAATTTCCTAGTTAGAAAGAGGAAAGCAAATGCCTAGCAAACATCTTTAACATATTTTTTCTGACATCTTTATATATTATATAGTAATTTTTAGATTATAGTTATTTAATAATGCAAGGCCATTATAGGCATCAAAAATTAGTTATCTTTCAAACCTAGAATAACTTCGGTTAATAATTTTCTCTGCTCACCTATACACAGGGAATATTTGTCTGTATGTATTTTTTAAAAATGGCATCATACTTTGCATACTATTTTGTAACTTGTCCTTTTCCTTTCCCAGTATACCTTTCCCAGGATACAATACATACTGCAAAATGATCACAATAAGTTTAGCAAATATCACCACCACCATAGCTTACATTTTTTCTTGTGATTAGAATTTTAAGATTTATTCTCTTAGCAACTTTTAAAATATGCAATATAGTATTGTTTACTATTGTCACCATATTTTAGACTACATCCTCATGAACCTGTTTATAACTGGGCATTTGCAACTTTTGACTAAATTAATCCTTCTGCTTCCCCCACAACAATCTGTTTTTTAGACCTATGAGTTCATGTTGTTTTTAAATTTCTACATATAGAAGAAATTACACAATATTTGTCTTTCTCTAAGTTTTGTCACTTTGCAGACTGCCCTCAAGTTCTATTTTTGTTGCTGCAAATGGCAAAATTTCCTTTTTAACCACAGAGTAATATTCTATTACATGTTTTTAGATGTCTGTCTCCATCTCTCTCTCTCTCTCTTCCCTATTCTCTGTATCCATCCCTGTATGATCACTTAGGTTGTTCCCAAAGCCTGGATATTGTAAATAATGATGCAAGAAACAGTGTTGTTCTTCACTGGCTCTTAGCCAGAAGGCCAAGACATGATGTATTGTCATTATTAATGATTGCATAATATTCCACAAGGATTTTATCTTCAGAAGATGAGAAAAGTTATTGTGAAACTTTCTGATATATTTATCACAAAACAATTGACTTTTTTTTTTTTAAGGTTATTACCAGAAGGCATAGTTCCATTAAAGAACAAGTAGTACATAGATTTGAAACATATACCTCTTTGGCCTGGATTGCTATAAGAGCTGCTACACAGGTTAGTGTGATGTTCTACTTAATCTTTCTTTTTCACTGTCACATACATATTCTTCACCTACTAGTTTTTAAGGCATTATAATATAACAGCAGAGGAATATTTCATGCTCTTTGGGATTTGTGTAAATGATGATTTTTGGGGGGGAAGATTAAGGAGCTGTTTGTATGTATTGTGTTTTTAATCTTGAATCGGTGAACCCGGCTTTGTTGTTGTTTTTAACTTTAATGAAAATATTGGCACATATTTGATATTTTTCTATAGCTAGGTGATGTACTGTATTTAAAGTGACTTATACATTTGTTAAATTACATTAGTTACATTGTCAACAGTAATGATTTACTTGACTATGATTCTGTATATCATATTGAGAATCACATATATTCCAGGTAGTCTTTATTTTTTCCCACAAAATATATATTGAATATTATCTTATTAATTCCATATTCTCACATTATTAGGTCAGTGAAGCTGTGTTGGCAATTAACTTACTTATTGGAAAGAAAAATGCCAGAACTGATAAAGTGAGTGAAGAAGCTTTACCAAATATCCCAGAATTTGCCAGTGTGGACCTTCTGTCTTCCTACACAGATTATCTGCTGGGTATGTTTGAATGTCTAGGCATTTTGCAAAAGCCTGATCTAAGTAATGTTTAATTAAGTTTCAATGGTTTACTTGAAGTGATTTGTTGGGTATTTGCTAACAGAGTATAATCGTTTACAGAACGTCTGGGAGAAGATGGGAGTCTTGTGCCTCGTTGCCAAAACAAAGGGGCTTCAGCTCACTGCACATACATACATGCGCTCAGTCAACTGCTGCACTTCAGCTGCAGGATTCTGTGGGGAAAAAAAATGCTATTTCCTTTTAGCTGTTAATTTTCTAGTTCACCCATATCAAATAAGAGATTTGGGAATATTGACTTGAGTGAATTTCTCTGATCCTCTAAAATTTGTATTCACATTCATCATTTTACATACTCCCTCATCTTTTTCTTAGTTATTTTGTATTTGTGTGTGTGTGTGTCTCATTTAAATAATCTTCACCTTTCTGAGAGCTGAGACTTTGTCCATTTGGTTGGTAACCTAGTTATAGGAAACCTCACATTGCTTCCACATGCCATCATTCCATATTAATACTTGCTAAGTAAAGCAGTGAGTGAGAGAATTTAACTTTGACTTCAGTGCTATTTGTTTTATGACTCCTTTGTTAGTAAACTATAATATAAATGTCTAGGTCAGATCAGCAATAACACAAATATTTAACATTCATTTTTGTGTTGTCCAGCTCATTCATTAAGAAATTGTATTGAGTGCCTCTTCTATGCCAGGCACGTGAATAGGTTCTGTATTTATATAAGGAATACAATGCAACAATGAAAAGCCACTGAGTTACAGCTTATGTATCAGTCTTGATTTTTAAAAGCACAGTGTTTAGTGAAAAAAGAATATCATAAATATATGTAATATCTCTCTGTGTGTAAAGTTCCCCCAAAGGGAAAAAGTAGTAACATTATGTGCTAAATCACATGTAGCATATAATTTGTGACTAAAGGGTAAAGGAAAGCTATCGGATGATGAACAGTAATTGTTAGTGGCAATTTTTAGTAGATAGTCAGGGGCAGAGAGAAGGAAATGGGATCATAGAGAGATGAGTTTCTTCAAAAATACGGGATATTCTGTTTGCTAAGCTAGGTGCTAAGTACATTAGAATTCATCTTATTTTTCAAGAAAGTATGCATAGACCATTAACTACATAAGATTCTATTCATTTTCTTTCCCTTCTTGCCCAGAGACAGCCACTATCTTAAACACACATACACACACATGCAGAAAATGTGTATATGTATTATATATGTTTACATGTAAATATAAAATATTGTAGTGAGCTCTTTCAAATTATACGAATGCTACTATACTCTGTACATCATCGGGTATTGGCTAGTTTTTTCAATATATGCTATTAAAACCCATCCAGCACCACCCTGATCATGCCCATTTTAAAGATGAGAAAATTAAAACTCATAAAGTCAAAAGCCCAGAGTGGCCTGAAGCAGAGAGGTTCACAACCACACACTGAGAGGACACCCTGGAAGTGGGACCAAGACACCACACTTCCTCCCTCCCTCATCAATCTAATTAATTCGAATTAATCCAATCTTAAGTATCATGAAACAAATAGACTTCCTCTTATTTTTCTGTCTTCTTTTGTTTGTTTTATATCACAAGCAACACTGCCATGGATACCTTGTAAAAAAAACTCCTGGTACTCCTATATAAGTATTTGCATTTTTAACTTTATTAGGTCCTAGCAAATTGCTTTCCCAACAAGGTGTTTTCACAGGGTATGAGGTTTCAAGTTTCTTCACATTATTGCCAATGCTTATTATTTTCAGATGTTAGTATTTACTGATTCCTGAGGGATGTGAAACAAGCTTTCATTTTAATTTGCACTTCTCTAGTTTTTCAAGACACTAAACCTTTGGCCACTTGGCTGCCTTTTCTGCAAGCTGTCTATTGAAATTCTTTGTCCCCATCTCCACTGGACTATATGCCTTTTTCTTAGTGACTCCTGCTAGGTGTTTATATGTATTAGAGAGGAATAATTCACATGTGTGCTAAATACATGTCCTAGGGTTGCCACTTGCTATTGGTGTCTCGTGACTCAACGGAAAGTTTTTGTGGCATATGAGTTTGTCTTTGCCTTATGTTCATGTGGTTGTTTATGCAAGGAACATACTATAGGGTTGTTGCTGTTGTTTACTTTCAGGTAACTACCAAGTTGTGTTCCAGACTGGATGTACATTTTCTTACCAGAATATTGACACTTTTAACAACACAGATACCACAAAAAATATTGAGACCAAAGTGGATATAACATGGATTCTTCTGCTGCGCTACTATATTCACCTGCAAAGGATTAATAATATGAGCAAACTGCTTGGTAGGCTTTTCATGTGTTAAAAAATTTTAGAATTATAAGATACTTTTGTCATCTTTTTGAGCCAACTCTCATTCATTAGAAGGTTATAATTGCAGGGTATTTTAACCAAAGATACACAGACCTCTCAATAGAGTAGTAAAATAAAAATAACAACAACAATAATAATTAAAAAAAAACTATCAGGCAATCATAAATAAGAGACATTCTGCCGGGAAGGGAGAGGAAAAGGGATCAAAATGGGAGAGAAGAGCACAAGGGACTATGAGGAAGGTTCGTGGGTGAACTGGTGGTGGGAAATTTACAAGGAGTACAGAATAATGTAAAAGATCTTTAAAAATAGAGTAGTATTTTAGTGCAGTTAAAAACCACGATGAGGCCCTCCCTGGTGGCGCAGCGGGTTAAAGCACAGCATTGAGAAGCTAAAGCCACTTCTGCATGAGTTCGATCCCTGCCTGCCCCGGAGGTGACCACATGGCGTGGCAGACCTCTCCTGGCCCGCCCGCTGCTCCCCTCAGCAGTGTACTTCGTCCATCTGCCTGTTCTGCTCCCCACTCTGTCTCTGGTGAATCCTATCACCTTCCACATCTCTGGCCTGTACCCCAGTTCTGTATGCACAAATAAATAAATCTTAAAAAAAAAATCAGAGTGATTGGAAGGTGACAGCTTATGAAATGAACAAGGTGAAAATTTGACTTGAATTTTCCAGGATCCAAAAAATAAAGGAGATGAAATGCATGACTTCAGCTAGGATACTTAACCCCATGAGGTTGTTTAGCTTTTTTGGTTGTTGTTTGCTTTTATCACTGATCCTGTCCAAAGAATATCCTGAAAAATTGCTGTAATCTGTTTCATAGTAGTCCCTCTTATGGTTTTGTGATAATATAGCTACTGTGTTTTCATCTGTTCCCATGAAGTTGGCAATTCGCTATTGTTCATGGGTGCAAACAGGCAGGAAAGATGATTTGGTCCTCTCCACACCAGGATCTAGTGATGGAAAAGTGGTGGAGAAGTCAGCAGGGCAAAGAGACTGAGTCCCAGATTGGCTAAGCACAGTGACCAGGAGTCAGCAGTGGGACAGACAGGACTCAGACAGGTGTCAGGGATCAAGGCGCATCCTGCTGGGGGTGAGGACATGGGTTGGGCAGCAGGAAGTGTGTGTGAGCTGGTGCTGCATGCCCTAGGGATCCCTTGCCCAGCTCACCTCTGAATTCACCTCTGGTTCTTTCCATGTTAAACACCCTCTTTCTGTTCTGGGCTTCCTCTGAAGATAATGAGGCTTGCCTGCCCATAGGCAGGACAGCCCAGAAAGGTCAAGTATCCCACACACCAAAGAGTAACCTGCAGCTGTTGAGGTAGGAAGCATTCTAGTTTCCTAGTCCCTTCATGAGACAGTCTACATGTTTGCTTTCTTCCCACCAAAGATGCCCAGCCAGACTGGGGTCACTTGTCCATGGCTCTTCCTATTTATTAATTCACCTCCGCAGCTCTATCACATTTTATCCATTCTTTCCCTTGTGTCCTGGATAGTTAAAGACATTTCTTGCATGCAAATTCTTGCTTTAAGATCTCTCTTGGGTAGACCCGGCTAATAGGGAAGTTCGATAGGATTTCTGTTTTTCATTGTTCAGGCTTGGATTTCGAAGCAATTCCTCACAAACTTCTGAGATTTTCTTTCCTTCCTTTGTCAAGAAGCAATTCCATTAGTGTGGAAGCTGATTGTTAGCAGACCGTCACTGGCAGCCCCAGCTGAGAGGGGACATGCAAAACAGTGGCTTGTGAAGCAATGCCAGTGATACTGAGATCATTCTCTTTTCTAGCATGGCTCTAAATTAAGTTATTTTTCTTCCTTAAGCATCTCTAAAGCCGGAATCGGGAATTACTTTGCCGGATGATACACTTCTCACATCCTTGTTCAACTCTGGGTTGATTTTGCGTCAAAAAGAAATGCATTTTTTCCTTAAAAGATTCTTACAGCTGTATTCTTCCTCCTGTATTGACGAATTTCCAAAAGAACTACTTCAAGGGTTGGATTATCTACCTTTTTCAGAAAAAGTCATCTATGAGTCATCACACAAGGTAATGTTTTAAAATATATTTTTTGAAATGTCTTATAAGCATCTTTATATTTCTGAATGAAGAGCATTAATCCCAATGGTGGCACAAAGATTTCTGGGAAAGCTCATTTCTCTTTCACCAGATAGGGAATCCAACCAAACATCTGGAATGTTATGAGAGTTTACACTTCCGACGTTTGGTTGTCATACATCTTCAAAATGTCTCAAAATTACTTTTTGTACCTAATATGCATCATTTCTCTACTTCTGTATGTAACATCTCAGGCAGCTATTTTGTCAATTTTTGCACCTAGTATGCATCATTTCTCTATTTGTGTATATAACATCTAAGCAGCTATCTTGTCAAGATGTTACATGCACTTCAATATAAGCAGTTACTTTATAAGAAAACTAGACTGAGGGCCCTCTCTGGTGTCACAACGGGTTAAAGTGCAGCACTATGAAGCTAGCCGCAGCCACTTCAGCATGAGTTCGCTCCCTCACACCAGAGGAGATCTACATGGCGCAGCAGACCTCTCCTGTCTTGCCCACTGCTCCCCCTCAGCAGTGTACTTAGGCAGTCAGCCTGTTCTGCTCCCTACTCTGTCTCAGGTGAATCCTCTCACTGCCCCTGAACCTCTGGCCTGTACCCCAGTTCTGTATGCAGAAATAAGTCTTTAAAAAAATCAAAACACATCATCTGTATTTTTAATAATGTACAGGGCTGCTTGCCAAAGGACAGATGAAAGGGAGCAAGCTCAAAAGAGATAAGGAAGTAGTGGAACTTAGAGTATCATGAGTGGAAAGAGATGGGCATAAGAAGTGTTAGCTTAGATCAAACTGGAAACAGACAAACCAAAAAAAAAACAACATAGTGACACTTCAGAGGTGGAAAGTGAAGAGGGAAAGACAAAAGGCCAGTCCACCACATTTCTGTCAGCAGGTGGGGAGGAAGCAGGACGATGGGAACATTTGTGGTGTATTCTGCTTGGTACCTGATACTGAGTTTGAGATTCTAGTAGAAAACGCAAGTGGATGTAGTCTGTTGTAACTTCCCAATATTTACTTGTGAAATGCATCCATCAAGTCATTTGTCTAGAATTATTGCAAAACTGGGGGGGAGGGGGAATCATTCATTGTTCTAAAGTATGTTCATTTGGGGCTTTGTCATTTCAACTGTAGTTTGCACCATTGTAGACCCGCTCCTACTAGACATGTCCATGTTTCTATCATCAGCTGCTCTAGAGAAATGACCTGAAATGTGGTGTGGTCCAAATCAGGATATTTGGCCCATCTTTTCCTAGTAGAATCTGGTAACCTGATGTTTTAGGTAGTTAATAATACACTAAAAAAAATCATATCTTTTGAGTAAGAGCTGGGTGATGATAAGTATTCCCTGGTAAATATATATATATATATATTAGTACTGACATAGAGATGCCTAATTCTTAACACCCTGTTTACCATTCATATTCTGAATCACTTGAGAAATAAGCCAAAAGAGTAAAACTGATTGAGACTTAAAAGCACCCACCATTATGAGTCACAAAGCTGATATTGTAGGGCATTGATTATGTTTATCTCTTCTAGCAGTGAACAGCAAAGAAGACAAATATACCAATGCAGCTATAGGTTGTCTTGTGTTTGTCCTTAAAACCTGCAGAGCAGTGACACCATCAGCTCCTTTTTATCTGTTGATTGAAGGAACAGGGAATGTTCATTCCTGCAAATAGGTTTACACCCAGGAAGGAACATCAGAACTAGGCATATCCAAAACTCTTCCCCCTAAATGTACCAATCACAAGAAGAAGAGAAAGGCCAGGAATGTGATGTTAATGTCCAGCCCTTCACTTAGAAGGAAACAGTAGGAGTGGAATAAAGTCCTTTTCATATACCACTGGGGTCAGATTCACCCCTAATGGGAGGTGAAACCACCTTCAAGGACTACTGCCAAGTAAACAGGCATCCTGATTGTTTTGGAGCTGGGAACAGAGAATGTTGAGAACCATAGATTTAATGGATGTATTTTTCTGAATATTTCATAAGAGTTTGGAAAATACTACGTGACTTCTTAAATACCATTCCGAATGGAGCTCTGTTGGAGTACGAGGGGCAGCCTATCATTACCCAGTTCCTCAGGGCCATGCTTCAGTTACAACCCTGAGTACATTGTAAATACCTGTGACATTTCTAATGGCAGCAATGTTATCAAAGAGTTGTTTTACCCTGTTTGCTCTTTTCTTTTTTTGATATAATTAGTGTAACACTCTCCCAGGATAATCAGTTTTGGAGATCACTGTCACTTGTCTGACAGGTGCAAGCCACATAATCATGTGTTTGTTTCACTGGGGTAGACAGCTAACGAGCATAAAGCCTTTCAGATTTTTTTTTTTAAAAAACAAACGCCAAGCTTGTTTGATTTTTATAATAACATTTTGAGCCCTTAATCACTCAGGAGGCTATTTCAATCAAACTCTTTCCATAATTTGATACTTAAGCTTGCCTCCCTCCCTGTAGCCCCAAAGAAGTAGACGTCTTTCTGGAATCATCATGGTTATGTGTCGTGACCATCATTTGTGGGTATCTGCATGTTGTCAAATGTACTAAAGCTTTGTGATGGAAAAACAAAGGTGGCAAACACATGGTGTTAAAAATTCCCCTCCAAGAGGGTATGATTAAAAGTGTGCCCAATGCTGAGTTATCCATGCACACTGTGTACCGAGAGTAGTCATGTTAGGGCATTTACTAGTGCAAAATGATTTGTTGCTGGCGGGGCTGTGGCTGACAAGAGTTCTGGCAAACTTGCTGACCGCATTCCTTCTCAAGAACAAATTAAATATATAAACAGTACTCAGTGGACAGTCCATCAGTTAGCATATGTAGGTAATTCTATTAGTAACTAGATACTATGGTTTTTTTTTTTTTTTTAAATTAAGTGCCTATATTGATAGCGACTTGTGCTACCATTATTAGACAATCATGGTCATAAAAACTGCATATGTTGAAATAGAAGAGACTTGCCTGTCGTTTTCCCCCACTTCGCTGGTTATTCAATATGAATGTTTTTCTAAAATAGTTGTCGGAGCCTCTGAAAAGCACTCTGATGTGAAAAAATATGAAAAATTATTTTTTGAATGAATTATTTACTTGACATTTTGGAGAACTGCCTGGCATAGAATTATTCTTAATTAAGCACCTTTAAATAATTATTTAATCACAATAATCCTGCTTTTTATACCTTTGGGTTGTGGTTTTACTATCAGAGTACTTATAAATGAATCTGGCTTTTGAGATCCTTTTAGGATAACCTCTAGATATTTTTTGAAAAGTTTCCACCTTTAATATTAAATTTCAGTCAAGATATATTTTTTCTTTTAGCAGTAGACAACTTGAAAGGTCAGTATCCTTATCTTTGTTTTATTTTGAAGACTTGCATTGACAGGCTTATATCTTGAATAGGTTCAGAAATAATGGGAGGTACAAAGCCTTCTAAAAACAACAGGCATTTCTTTGTGGCCTGGTGTTCTGATGTGTTCTCCTTGATCACCAAACCTTGAATACTGAGATACTTAGATGTCAAGATATTAATAGGACTCTTTTCCAGCTACCATCATGTAATCTTTGCATAATAAAAGAGTTTGTACTCCACTGAAGAAGGTCCTTTTTAGACTTGAGATCTTATCATGATCACCTCTCTAGCTATACTAATATTGATAAATGACAATCATATTTTGCTTTGGTAATTTAAAAACCAGTAATTTATCAAATTACATTCTGCCCATTTGTCTCTTGATTTAGTGAAAACTCTTGATTTAGTGACTAAGTTTCATCAAAAGATGCTGGGCTTAGATTTACTAAGAGTGAACTTAAATTTGGCAACATTCAAATAAAGATAGACCAGGACAAAGAATTTTAATATTTTAGAGTAAAATATGTCTTATTTTGTATATGGCACTCCAAAGAAAGCAATTGAAGAAATAAATTATAACTACCCTATCAGTGTGTGAGTGTTTCAACAGTGAGTAAGTCAGAAAATATTTCGATGCTCTTAAGAGTTGTTGATGACTTTGACACAGAAATGACAGTCTGGATGTAGTCTCTTCTAAATTTTTACTCTGGGAGGCTCACTGAAATGGAAGACATTTGTGGAGTCCAGTAGGTTTTGTAGCACATTTTCCTGTAAAAGAATCTTTTCTGTGTTAATCCAGGAGTAATTTCAAGATTTATTCCCATAAAACAAGTTGAGACGATTCCCAGAGTTTTCTAAACTAGCCAATATGGAATGAATATTGAATGAATGTTTTAAATATTGAATGAAATTCATTACCAGCAATTATACTGATGTTTTTGTTTGTTCCCCAGATAGGTCATGAAAATTCTCTACATTCCAATTTATCATTAAAGCTCAGTGCCAGCCAGTCTGATGGCTGCATGGCAACATCAGAGATGGCAACCCATGCTTTAAACAAAGAGCTTTGCTTTCAGTGGTACATTCCTCCCCTGGAAAGATCTCCAAAGGAAACAGAACCAATGGTATGTGACATAAATACCATGTCTTGCATTTTGTTATGAAACCTATTAAGTCCATTATCAACTGAAGATTATTTAAAAAAAGATATAATGTATGGAATCTGTATTGTCTATTACAATGAATTTGAAAATAACTCTGATATCTTGGGCAAGTCTGATTCAAGTTGATCATTTTCCTAATCATAAAGGTAGAGTTATTAATGTGTCACAATCCTATGTGATGTTTAGCTTTCTTTTTCCATATTGCTAAGATGTTTTCATCATGAATCTTTTACTATGTCAGTTAAGATAGCTTTATGATTTTTCTTTCCATTGTTAATTGATTTTATGTTACTAGATCAACCTTGTGGTCTTGAGATAAACTCAAATTGGGTAACAGCTCCGATTCTCAGCCCTCTTCTATCTAGAATGAGCTCACACGAGGCCATTTCTAAGGTTATGTGAAGCTAGAATTCTGTGAAACCATGGCAGTCACTTGTTATTACATCTGGGGGATTAATTCTAAGAATTGCCAGAATTCAGGCATCTGGGAAATTACTAGAACATGAGTGTTTAGGAGGAGTTTTATCTTAGAGATGGGCTTTGGAAAGCTGTGTGAGAATAGGAGAAGGGAGAGAAGGGGAAGGGGGCAGCAGAAGAGATGTGCATCTATGCCCATAGCCATGGATGGAAAGGTATATATTGAAAAGGGACAGCAAACAAAGCTGAATATTCACCAGCAAGATATATATATATATATATATTAATTTCTTTTTTTAAGATTTATTTATTTGTGCATACAGAGCTGGGGTACAGGCCAGAGGCTCAGGGGTGGTGAGAGGCTTTACCAGAGACAGAGTGAGGAGCAGAGCAGGCAGATCGATGAAGTCCACTGCTGAGGGGAGCAGCGGGCGGGTCAGGAGAGGTCTGCCGTGCCATGTGGTCACCTACGTACGGGGCAGCCGGGAATCGAACTCATGCAGAAGTGGCTTTAGCTTCTTAGTGCTGTGCTTTAACCCACTGCGCCACCAGGGAGGGCCACCAGCTATATTTTTAGAATTGTTAGAGGGTCTTCAAAGTCTGAAATTTAAACTTAACTGCAGTGCAAAATGTCACTCTCCAAAAATAATCTAATATTAGTATCAAATGGCATTTCTTTTCCTCTCACAACTTTTACACAATGCTTGTTCATATTATCTTTCATTAACATGAATTGAAAAACCCTCATTTTGTTCTCTCAGAGAAAAACTTTTAAAATATATTCATTTGAGAGCTGCCGCCACCTTTTTTGAGGCAAAGTATAATTTTGATGTCACATTTTATATGCCTTTTAATTTTCTTGTAGGTCTTATTGTTATATGCATATAATATGAAGCCTCTGAAGATTACAGATATTAAATGTACCACTTACAGTCAGCTATTTGTTGGCTCTTTTTGGGTTCCACTCTACAGGCAAGTAAAAATGGATTATCTACAATGCTAACTCTCTTCGCTATGATTTCTATACAGGCTGTTTCAGTAGTACACAAGATAAATCACAAACAGGCTTTCAGGAAAATTGTCCATGTATTTACAAATGTATGATTTTGCAGTGGTCAAGAGCATGAACACTGAATCCAGTCTGCTTTGGTCAAATGTCAGTTAGCTGTGTGACCTTGGACAGGCTTCTTAACCTCTCTCTGCCTCACTCTGACTCTTCCCTAAGAAAGCAGTAATAGTAGTAAAGAGTATCTCGGAAAGGCTCTGACATTTCATAAAGATTACATAGTTTAAAGATGTTGGTACCGTGACTCTGCTTGTAATTTTGGGGTTTCAAAATGCTGAATGGACTCTACAATGGTTTGCAAAATTAAGCCCAAAGGCCATCACTTTCCTCACCTCCCCCTCCCTCTGGACCCAGTCTTACTTTATATAGAGTTCCTAAGTCAAAATTCTCTCTCTCAGCCAGTTTTTCTTTCCCCTCCTTCAAACTTGGGCTCATGCTGGGTTACTCTTTCCAGCTATTTCCCTCGACCAGATTCCTTTCTTTTTTATGTAACGCTTGTTCGTTTTTCCGTTTTGTAAACACCCTTGTTTATTTTTTCACCCCTCAGGTACAGTCTCCCTTGTTTTCCTAGCACAGTCCTTCACCACACCCCCATCCTCTCCTCTTACTCTGTTCTCTACTCTTCCCCCCTCCTGTTTCAGATCTTTCTGTTTTGGGCTCATTGATTAGCCTTTTGCAACCATTGCTAACTTGTCATAATTTTTTGCCTTCAGGTCAGTTAGATAAAGGCAGTAAGATGTATGTTGGAGTAAATATTTTGTCATTGTGGACAGTTAATTTACTCATGTAGGTATTTATTTATTTTCAGTGTTAGCGATATTGTGGATGTATACATTTCTTTCATTGTGCGTTTTCCAATTAGTAATTATATGTCCATCTGAGTGTACAACTGAATCATAAACATTATAGGGTTAGAATTGTGTCTTTACTCATGTTTCTTGAACATTGATGGAACAGATGACATTTGAGGATGTCAGAAAACTCAATGTTAAAATAACCAAGGGTTTGTGTTACACATATCGCTGGCTGTCAGAATAAATGCATGCCTTGGTTAGCTTTTCAAATAAAATACACATACATTTGTTATTTTTAGAGTCATTTCAATTCATGAGAAACTATCTAATCTTACGCAAATTGCTGAAATTTCATTGCCAACAAGCCCTGAAGTAACTTCAAGTGAAACTGTATCTCAGGTACAAGAAATGGAGGACACCTCAGTTGATAAAGAAATGGAAGTAAGTTTTTAAATAATGGAAAATCACATCACTACTGCAGGGTGAAGGTTGTTAGATGTAATTATTTAAATGATTTTTTTCTTTCTTCTTTTATTGCCTTCTATTTATTTTAAACAGTTTAAATAGTTTAAATAGTTTTTATTGTACAGGCATGGCAATGCGTTATGAGTCTGATATCACAGCTGGATTTTTTTGAATGACTGATGTTTGCATGTTGGGAAAGGTGATTTTCCTTCTACTCTTCCTGAGTTCTTAAACTATAGAAAACAAGGACACAATATGGAGATCACAATATGTCAGCATCATTACTGATGATACTTGATTAGTGAACATGACTTTGGATTTGGGCCAAATGAACTTATTAATATTTCATAACTGAATTAGCCAGACATGCCACCTAGCTATACAGTCATCTGTATAACCACAGGGTCCCCCTACATCCTGTGCCCTGACTCAATCCCCTGGGTCTACTTCACACAGGAGCAGAGACATGCCCTACACAGGGTGCCTTCCAAACTAAGATTGTCCAGAAGGGCTGAGCGTGGCATGTTCTATTACCCTTCTCCATCTCACCAGTGAGATCCCTCACTCCACTCTCCTAGAAGTAAACTTCTGATGTGTCTGAAAGGAACCGGAAGTGGCTGCCTTTTTCAAGAGCGGAAGAAGACAGCCCCCTCACTCTATGTGGAAAGGAGGGGAAAAGCTCACACATGCTCTCGCCTTCTCATTTGCTTTTCAACTCCACTTGTACATCAGTCCACTTTGAGATGCATATTTTGTATTTGTTGTGGCGTTGTTACGACCAAATTGATCTTAAAGGTTTAAAATGAAAACAGAGAATCCTCTGCCTAACTTCTCACTCCACAGTCCTGTTCTGCAGAGGCAACCACTTTTCACCTCTCTCAGGGGCCTTTCTTTTGTTATTCAGTTAAACGTGTTTAAATACTATGTCCTATAAGTCACGTAAAACAAGGTAACAAAACATTTTCAGATCTGAGTGTGGCTATGGGGTCCTAGCTCCCATCTTTCCTTACACAATCTAGGCTGGAGCATCATATGGTGCAGCTAGGAGGCAGGCGAGACTCAGGTAGCAAACCACACACTGGCTCTTCAAGTTTCCATCATCTCATTCCCTAGCATGTCAATGATCAAATATGTCACATGCGCTGCTAGCATTTCTCGGCTACTGGCATGAAAGGAAGAAAGTCAGATATTCTGAAGGAGAGAGGATGGAGCTGTCTGACTTCTCTTCAATACCTCGCCCTTTCCTTCCAATATTGGTATTTAGTTAAATCAATAGTCAGTGCTTACATTATCAGAGACCTGGAAGCAGTGTTCACAACTAAGGCGAATACTGAACCACGTTTATGTTCTTGTATAAGATTTGATTTTTCTGAGCTGTCTTCCTTTGGATCATTACATCACATTTTTGTGTGTGTTCATCCATAGATTTTTTTTTTCAGTTTTTCCCCTTTTTCAATTATTTTTTCCTTTCTTTTTTAAAAATTTCTTTTGGGCCTTTTTTTCTTGCTCCAGTTGACAGCTGGTTGTCTCCAAGAACTATGGACCAGGTATTTCTGATTCTGGGTCCTCTCTGGATGCTATCTTGGTTGAATCTCCGGTCATTTGGGGCCATCTCTGTTATCCTTCTCTGAAAGTTTTTCGGATGATTATTTTTGGTCTATTGTGTCTTTTTCTTAAATCACATTCTGTTAGGTTAATCTTGAACTAGTTTCCAGTGATAAAGTACTTTTAATTCTTTTTAATTTTTTTAGGTTTATTTATGCACATAAGAGCTAGGGTGCAGCTGGAAGTGGGGGTGGGTAGAAGACTCACCAGAAAGAGTGGGGACCAGAACAGGTAGAATGACTGAAATACACTGCTGAGGGGAACAGTGGGTAGGTCAGGAGAGGCCTGCTGTACCATGTGGGTCACCCCCTGGCTAGGGATCAAATTGATGCTGCAGTGGCTGCAGAGAGCTTCATAGCACTTTTAACTCTTAAGAATAGTGTTGATATGGCCTCTTCCTTAGTTGCCTCACCTACACACTCTTAGGATGTAAAAGGTTGGCCATTCTGCTATTTTCTGACCCTACCTGTTGCATTTTCAGTCAGAACTTACCGGGAGGCTGAGCGAGTGCATTTTTAATTATTGTGAAAGCAACAAGCCCAGCTCTAAGGGGCTTCATCAGGTTAGAAAAGCTAACCTTTTCAAAATGCCACTTGCCAGCACTGGCGTCTCATCTGCTGTGTGCTTGAAGTTATCATAGAACTGCTTTCTTAGAATTTCGGTTGTGCATCCTTTCTAGCAGCCTCAGCTGTTCCAACAAGAATTACCAGGAATTTAATGATATTATTGATGTAGCGAGTATATGCGATACATCTCCCAATAGACCACATATCTCAAACTCAGGAGATTATATATTTATGTATTCTTTTTCATAAAGTGAATCCTTATCCTGTCAGTTTCCAAGAAGAGCACAGCTCTTGTTTCATTTTCTTATACTTCTTTTATAGGTCACTTACAGTCACAGTTTTTCAGTCACAGAGTACACTTATCTGATTGCTCTCTTTGAGACACAATTTAGAATATTCTTTGCCCAAACTGTCCTAAACCTCTGCTCTACACTCTATATGTGGAAATGATTATTTTCTACTGAACCCACTTGTCCTTTTAGCTCAGATTGCCTGAGGCAGTATAGTGAGCATTTGTAAAAATAAAGTTTTATTTATTTAGTTTTATTATTTTTTTTATCGAGGTAATACTGGGTTGCAACATTGTATGTGAGTTAAAGGATAGACAAACACCATAGTCACCACCAGAGCACCCGTGATCTTCCACCGTAATCCACTGGGTTCCTTACCCTCTTTGCTCTTCACCCCACCGTGTTCATGCTCTGGGAGCCTCATTTTCACAGGCAGATTTCTAGGGATTGCTTTGATTTAGTTTTGCCTATTCCTTTGTTTTCTTTTTTATAGATTTATTTATACATATGGAACTGGGGTACAGGCCAGGAGTTGAGGGGTGAGAGGATTCACCAGAGACTGACTGAAATCCACTACTGAGGGGAGCAGCAGGTGGGTCAGGAGAGGTCTGCCATGACATGTGGGTCACCTTCCTGGCCAGGGATTGAACTCATGCTGCAGTGGCTGTGATAGCTTCATAGTGTTGTGCTTTAACCAGTTGAGCTACCAGGGAGGACCCTCCTTTGTTTTCATTCCTTATAGTCCACATGAGTGACATCATCTGGTATATAAAAAAAAGAGTTGAGGGCTCAAGGTTGTGCTCTGCCACTCAGCTCTACTATCTAGGACAGGTCACAACTTTTTCTGGTTCTAATCTCTAAAAGCAGTTCTTCCACTTCAGTTTCACTTTGCAATGGAGACAGGGGCCTTTGATTGGAATGAGAGTTATCCGAATTTCCCTAGTTGTCAATGTCAGTATCCCAATTTATCACAGAGTCTAAATGTGAAAAATAAAAAAGTAAGTTGGAGCCAAGAAGTAGATGATTAAAGAAATCATGGATAAATGCGAGGCCTTGGAAACAGGAAGAGGTCTAGTCTCCTCCTGCCTAGTCTCAGTCAGGATTTGTGGCTTGTTTTCATGTCATCTGACCAGAATGGTATGAGTGAGTAGATCAGTCATTGAGTAGAACAAACTTATTTCAGTTTTCATGCCCTCTGTTGTGTTTTTTAGTTCATTTTCTTCTCCAACTAAGAGAGCTTTTCCTTAGCATTAAGTAGGACATTTTAAGTTGGCTCCAGTTCTGTTGATTCTATGTATGACAGTCACCAAATTGAAGAAAAACAAATTAGTTCACAAATTTTGGAAGTTGAAAAATGAAAGTCATGTATAATTTTCTTTTTTCTCAGTATACTACCCAATATTTATACAAAGAAGCAGCTAGATTCTGGGTTTTATTAAATAAATCCCATTGACTAAATCTGCCAGTATGTTGTCATGACAACCTTCACTTGGAGCTAATTAGAAGTTAACTAGGACACTTGAAAAGATCAATTCTGGTCTGGAGTTGGACAGAATTTCATAACCTTTATAATCTAAAATATTTATTTCTAATAGTATGGATTTTTGGTGAGTTATTGACTATAAATGTTCCAGAAAATATGCCTATTGTCGATATAGGGGTTATTGAATCATGTTCTTTTTCTCACTCCTTTACTGTTCTCCCTGCCTCCCCCTCACCCCTGTCTATCTGAAATAAGCCAAGAACTTCAGAACACAGATACTAATTTAAGCTTTATTGGGGAAGCTTCAGAACAGGTGTTCTAATTACTTCTGGCTTGAAAACCTTGTATGTCCTTTTCCTTAAAATGATAACACTGACTCAGAATGGCTGGGTTATTTTAACTTGTCATTCACAGAATTAGAGGTATCTACAGGTGCATTATCGGTGCTTTAAATCATATGAAAGATTCAGACTTTTCTGATTTTTTGGATTTTTTTTTTGACTTTTGGAATGATAGCTTACCTGTGTGGAAAGCTTAACATGTTAACCAAGTCACTGAAGGTGAGTTATGCAGGCATTTTTTAAAATGGAAATAAATATGGATTATATACAGTGCAATAAAATTTAGGATATAGTCAATCTATCCCAAATATTAAAGCATTATGAAAACAGAGCAAAATGCATTTGGACATTAGCACCAACTAACAAATTTTTAAAGAACCTATTATGTGCAAAATTTTACCAGTTTGTTTGGGTAGACAGAGATTGCAGGAATCAATACAACTAAATCCCTATCATAGAGGATATTATCTTGTATGAGTATGGCCATAGATATCAGATGTCATTTGTGTGAACTCAGCCATCTGGTGGGCCTCTCTTAGCAAAGTGGGACAGTCGAAGACATACCAATCTGGAGAATACTTGTTTCAGACTGAGCACACAGCAGATGAGATGTGAAGTCATGGAACTGAAGGTTGTATTTAGGGGACAATGACGCATCAGCTGTAGTTGGAGTTAGATCAGACAGAATGGGGAGACAGGATTGAAGAGATGGGTGGGATTGAGAGCTGCCTGCTCTCTGATCTTATCCCGTTCTTCTGAGAGTCTGTCTCCTCTTCCTCCCACCAGGCCGTGAGCTCCCTAAGGCTTCTCTTTCTGCCTGTACATCTCCTGTTGTCACTCCAAGGCCAAGTGCCCCTGTCTGCCCTGGCTAATGTTGCACATGGGTGAGCACACGCCTCAGTAAGGCCAACAAGCAAGTCAGCAGAGCACAGTGCACTCTGTCCTGCAAATAGCTGCAGCCCACTACTTTGTTTCAAGTAGAAGCTACAAGTAGCCCCAGGCCCAGTACAAACATGCACCCCACTCCCTGCGTCCGGCACATTTCCTGTTTTTCCCTGCATGAACAGACCCTATATATACCCATGGGTGGTCCTAATAAACAGACTTCGGACTCCAGACTCCAGGCTCCTGCTTCATTCTCTTGCCATCTCCCAGTCTCCTATGTTCCGGCGAATGTGGCGAATGTGGCGAATGTGGCGTTCAGCGCACCCCTTGGTGGGTTAGCAACAGATGATGAGAATTTCAACTAAGTCAAAGAGTTGACTCTGTTATTCTTAAAACAACTCAGATGGCATCCCTCGGAGAATCAAGAGATGCTTCCATTTAAGGGGGAAGTGCTGGAGATTAACAAAGAGTCATTCTGTGCTCAGGCACCACCGTGGTCCTTGCAACACCCCTCCAGCGGCCTCTGACAGGTTGGGGTTGAGGAGTGCTCAGCACTTTGCCTGTCTTCATTTCTTTTTTTTTTAAGATTTATTTATTTATGCATACAAGAACTGGGGTACGGCTGGAGGTGTGAAGGGTGAAAGGATTCACCAGAGACAGAGAGGGAAGCAGAAGAGAGGAAGAGCCACTGAAATACACTGCTGAGGAGAAGCAATGGGTGGGTCGGGCAAGGTCTGCTGCACTATGTGGGTCAGTTCCCTGGCAGGGGATTGAACTCATGCTGCAGTGGTTGCTGATAGCTTCATAGTGCTGTGCCACCAGGGAGGGCCCTTGTCTTCACTTCTGTTGTAACAGTCAGTGAAATCTCTTACAAGCCAACACAGAGCCAGCCAGTTTCTGATGTGTGTGAGTGCTTCACCTCAAATGATGTTCATTGCACCTAGAATTACCCTCTGTCACCTCTAGGTTTCTAGAACACTTTCCATGGTGTTCCCTCCTCTTTCTCTTACATCTGGCCCAAAGGTTTCCTTCTCCAACTTCCTACCCAGTGCATTCTACTTGGTATTTTACATAAGAGTGTACAAACCTTTCTTTCTCAGTTATTGTCAATTTTGTGAGAATAGGGTGTGTCTCTTTATTTTTGTGTTCCACAGCACTTCATAGACGGTCTGGAATATACTAAGTTGAATTGACAGTAGCATTGGAATTCTAAAATCAAATCTTCTCTAGGCTCGTGAATTTATTTAAATTTAAACATAGTATGGATTGGGGCTGTGAGTTCAATTTTCTATTTCTTTATTTTAAGGTTTTATTGAGAATAGGTGAGTTGTAATTTAAAATCAATGTACTTTTACCATTTTCACATTTCTGAATAAGAGCAACTTGTTGCTGGATACTGGCAGTATTGTTAAGTAAGCAGAGTTGCTCTCTGACAGCTTTACAGCCTTGCTCCTTCAACTAAGTAAAAAATAACAATTTACATAGTTCACTTAAAATAGACTTTCAAGGGAGGCAGTATTTGTCAGAGCATGATGAGTAGGCTCATAAATAGGCAAGGGATGGAAACAAAATACATTGGGTCTCACCAGAAATGGAACGAGGAAATTGTATGTTAAGGTTGTACTCAGTCCCACAGCTTGAGTTCTCCCTTGTCTGTTTCCTCCTCTTCCTCATCTTACATCTGGCCCAAAGGTTTCCTTCTCCAACCTCTTATCAAGAACCTTCATTTTATATGACCAGTGCTGATGCTAGTTCTCTTCATTGCCCTTATGTATATGAAATCACAGTGATGCGAATCTCATTGTTGGAAGCCTGTGTTCAGGTAGCTCCCTCTTGGTCCAGATGTCCACAAATAAACATCACTGTGCCTGTGCAATGGATGATATCGGATACCAAATCTTGCTTCCTTTTCATTTCTTTCTCAAATTCCCAAACCTTCTCTGCTTAAACCTCTTTCTAGAATCTTAATCTTTTTATTCCAGGACTCTCTTCTCAAAAGAAAAGTGATTTTTCCCAAATTTTATTTTGTGTGAATTACCTTAGCTGTAATACTTCTGTAGCATATGAATTTTAATTATGGAAGTGCAAGGAAAGAAACCTAAAATAACGTAATACCCATAGTTAAATCTTATCTTTTGTGACCATCCCTTTCCAATAATTCTGTCACTTAAAGGTTTGTGACCTCTGTATCCCTTTAAATTTCATTCCTGGAGTTAGTGTCTGGCAATGATGTCAGAAACAACAAATGAACTATATATAAGTAACTGTTTAATAACTTATCAATAAGATCAACCTAACTATATTGGTGGTTTTTTTTTTATTTCTAGTGCATGATTATTGAATGCTGCTCTGAAATAATAACCCTGTTTCTGAGAGATGGAGAGACAACACCACTAACTGAGGTATGTGTCTTTTAAAACTCTGATTCAGTCACCAGTATTACTGTTGCTATGGAAATAGAAATCAGAAAACATGTATTATGAAAGTATCAAGGGCCTAACCCTCCTTAATTAACGTGAAAATGTGATAAATATGAGTTTAAATCAGCATGGTTATTTTTGGTTAAAAATATTCTTTGTTAAAAAAATGAGATAGAACAGAAAGTTAGGAAAAAGATTATTTAAAAAAATCACCTCTAGTCTACTCCTCCAAGAACCCAAGATTAAAATTTTGGAGAAAACTCAAATTTTTTCCTTGTATATATGAACTTCAGAATTGTTATATCAGTGGGGTCATACTTTACATGGATTCTGCATTTTTTTTATTTACCAATAATTTTATGCTATAGAAACATTTTCATGTAAAAAGTCTATTTGAGTCTATTTGATCATATCTAGTGATTAAATTTATCTCTTTTATGCAATTGTAGCTTTCTGTATTTAACTACATCTTTGTTCTGGATCTTGAAGTTGATAGATTCTATTATGTACATTTTTTACCTTTCTACTTTAACACTTCAGAATTATTTCTTAAAAAGTGAATTTTAAAATAAAAAAAGAGTATATACTTTAATGTAGTAAATATATATATATGTAATATCTACTGTCTTAATCATTTTAAGTGTACACTTCAAGGTCTACAAGTATATTTTACTGTTATCTCCATCATCCATCTTTAGAAGTTTTTCATCTAAAAAAATAACCTTGATCACATAACTCCTTTCCCAATTCCTGATAACCTTACTATTCTACTTTCCAATTCTATTCTACTTTTTGGCTATTCTAGGTACCCATATAATGGAATCTTATAATATCAGTCCTTTGGTGATGCATATTTTTTCAGCACTATGCTTTCACAGTTCACCCATGTTGTAGTAATTACTAACACTATTCCTTTTTTAAGGCCACATAATATTCCGTGCTATAGATTATATTACACCTGTTGTCCTCTGTGATGGACATTTGAGTTGTTTATCCCTTTTGGCAATTGTAAGTTATGGTCTATAAAGATGGGTATCCATGTATATGACTCCTTGCTTTCAGTTGTTTTGAATATAGATCTAGGAGTGGAATAGGTAAGTAATTTAGTAATTCTATGTTTAATTTTCTGAGGAATCCCCAAACTGTTTTCTTGTGCAGTTATACCATTTCACATTTCCACTAGCAATGCACAGGGGTTTTAATGTCTCCATATTCACCAATGCTAATTTTCTTCATTTTTACATATTGGAGATCTTCATGGGTATAAAGTTGTATCTTTATTGCCTTTCCCTAGTGGCTACTTGTTTTCATATGCTTTTTGGACATTTGTATATCTTCTGAGAAGTTTATTTTCAAACCTTTGCTAATTTTTGAATTGGCATACCTTTCATATACAACTGAAGAAGACTAGCCAGAAATATTGCACCAATTTTTTTCTCCTCGGGGCAGTAGATGAAAGGGCCAGATTACCCATGTGTTCATCTACTCTAGGTCTCCTCCTCTTTTATAAATGTGGCAAGTGAAAAAGGACCTTTTCACATATTTTATTTTTGCTTTTTATAAGCTTAAATGTAATTCCTAGGTTTGTTGGCAATATTGTTTCTCCTTTTGTAAAATTATTTTCATTTTCACTTTTGTGAAATTATTTAGTCAAATTTTTTTTTGTGAAATTATTTAGCATGAACTGTGTGTCAGAAATCCTTCGTAAGTCTTGGGAAACAAATGGAACAAACAAAAAGGGATGGGAGCTGTCATTTTGTGGAGAGAAATGATTTCCAAT